TTAGTCTGTCCCATCTTCCGCGTACATACATATGTAACTACATTTCTGCTTAAGTGTATGAACGCGTAGGCTTTAAACGCGAAAAACATACGAATACCGAAAAAGAATCTTCGAAGGGAACTTGATTGTATGTATTTAAGAGCAATATTGATCGGGGATCCAGTGACATCACTGAAAATTGCAGAGCTGATGTATTGGCTAGGCTGGACACCTCGAGGCCATCACTTCGGACGGGGAAAGCATAGGAGTTACTTTGGCAACCTGCGGCCTAATCCTGGACAGGTGTTGCAAGGTTTTCCTGGCCGGCTGTTGAAGCGCCTGGCCTCTACAGGTGTACTGACCGGACATTGTCCTTTAGGAACACACGCTGTGCGACTTAATATCGTGATGGATCTCTACTGCCGCAGCTGTTTGGCAGACGAGGTGGAATTATCTCAGCACTTCCTTCTCAGCTGCCCTGCATTCGATTAACAGTGAATCTTAAGATGCACTTGTATAAATATTCTAGGTAAACACCCCGGCTTATTCAATATTCAAAAAAATACATTTTTGAAAAAACCGCCTAAAAGTTTTGGAAAAGCCCGGAAGAACCAATCCAATCACCCCATCCCTTACTCTCAAAAATGCTTGCGATTTTTTTTTTTAGTAAGCGCTCAATTTGCTCAGCAGAACTAAAAAGGTGATTGGTTTTGCAAATAAAATTTTATCACTGACTTGGAAGGCATTATTTCAAATTCAAATTTTTCAAAATTGTGAAAGTTGAAATATGAATTTGCAATTTTTTACGATTTGTGATACTCTCAGTAGCAAGAATGAAATAACAAAGAAGCAAATTAAGAAACTCAAATCTTTCAGGTTTTTAATTTAAATTAATATACATACATACATATGTACATAATTTGGCGGCATTGTTTTCAATAGGCACTGTATGAATGTATTTTACAACTTACTGACATTTTTTTAATAAAATCAAAAATCAAAATGTGTCCTCTTTGGACCGCTCGTTGCAAAGGGTTAAGATATTTATTATTATTATTTTTTTTTTTTGCAAAATATGGGAAACCATATGCCATTCAACAAAAAAATCATTTTTTTTTTTTTAATACCATATACTTGTTTGGAGATAACTAGTTTTTGCCAAAGAAAATGTCAAATATCCCACAGTGCAATGCATTTACATGGCGTATGAGCGACTTTTCAAAGACTTTAATTTTTGTTTGCAATGTGCTTGTTTGTTGTTGTCTCTAGCAGCCATACAATCAAGCAATAATACATTTTTGGCGTTCCTATTATTTTACCACGACTGTATTTAAACACAAGTATCTTACTGCGGCTGTTGCATACTTTTAGGCGTATTACTGAAACAACAAATTTCATTATACCCGCGCAACTCATTGGGCCGTATGCATAAAACCTAAATGCTTTTTCTTCAAAAGTTTCAAAAAAATTACTAAAATGTATGTACGTATATATCGCTCATTTATTTCAATAGTGTCATAACTCAAAAAAGTAAATCTCGAGAAAAGCGGCTTTAAAGTATCAACTTCACATATCAATTGCTGAGTGTATGATCGACCTATCTCGGCAACCAGTTAGAAAACGCCCTATCTCGGAAAACTTCAAAAACGCCCTATTTCAGAATTTGGTTGAAGAACTCAAAATTTGTATTTTATGGATTATGACAATATTAAAGTAAATAAGCGATATGTGTATTTCTTTACAATAAAAACTACAAATTAAAACAAAATAATTAAAAAGAAATAAAATAACAAAATTAAATCAGCAAAAATAGATAAAAAATTTCGAAAATTTAAAGAAATTACAAAAAAAAAAATATTTTTAAAACAGTCATCTAAAAAATAAAGAAAATTAAGTTAACAAAACTTTCCTTTTAAAACAATAATATCTGGAAATTAGAAGAAAATTAAATTTAAAAAAAGGAAGTTAAATAAAAATAAAAAATAAGTTCCTAAAAATTACACAAATTAAATTCTAAAAATATTTTTTTATTTTTTAATAAAAAATCTAAAAATGAAAGGAAAATTAAATTAAAACCATAATAAATTTAAGAAAGATAAAGTATGTTCCTAACAATTTAGTGAAATTTAGAAAAATTATTCTCTTTTGAAAACATAAAATCTAAAAATAGAAAGAAATTTAAGCTAAAAAGAAAGAAATGTCAAGTAAAATAAAAGAAAAAAATACGTTTCTAAAATTTTTATGAAAATAAAAAAAAATATTTTACTTTTTAAAACATTAAAATCTAAAAATTAAGAATAGGAACAAAAATTAAAAAAATGCTTTCCTAAAAGTTAAATGAAATTTCTTTCATTATGAAACAATAAAATCTAATTCATTTTCTACTTACTCGTTGACGCCACCTCAAGTTTACTCTATCTACCTAAATTACTCACGTTAACTTGATTAGAAAATCTTCAAACACAACTTAAAATTAGGTCCAGCATTCTTTCAAAAATGTTGTAACACATCGTAAACGAGCCCAAGGCTCATTCCAGACACGCACTGGTTTAAATAATCAGGCACAAAGTCAAAGGCTCAAAAAATATTAGAGTATCGAAATCCAGAGTCAGTTTTCTCTACGCCTGAACTATTTAAGCACGTACTGTAGCGATTTTACCTGCAATGTCAACAGTGCTGTAGTTTCTCTAGGTAATTTAATCAAACGAGGGCGTCATAAACATTAAAAGGCTTAAATATGTATGCCATAATAAAGTAAGGAAGTTGGCTGCCTAGCGATACGAATTGTGTTATGACAACTGATACCTATGCACCACTCTCCATGCAAAAAAATCATCCTTTTCCCATCAGAATTATAAAACATATCACATTAGAAAAGTTGAAGCTCAAAAAGTCTGCATAAAAAATTTAACAATTTTATCAACGGAATCAAAATAATCTGGAGTTATTTTAAGACCTGTCTAGCTCACGTAAATCTTAATATTTTTCCGAAATACATATACATTCTATCAGAAGTTTTAAAATACATATATATGTATAGTAAATAGAATAACCCCATTAGAAAAATCCTCACAGCCACGGGTTGTGGTCCGGGCTTGATACGCGCCACGGAAAATTCGGCACAAAAGAAACGGACCTTGTTGGAAGCTTCTCTAACTTCTTAGGCAACTAAGACAAACGAGTGCGAATAATCAGCAGCAGATCTGAGCTCCATACTGCAATATGAGCATGGGTCATTCCATGTTGAATTGACCAATGGTTGGAATGGATAATTTCTGATTTGGATGAATTTTGGTCAGAACTTTTGTTTTATCATGTAACGAAGTTCTGCCAAAGGGAAACAATAAAAAATTTTAAAAGTTCACAATTTCACGGAGTTGTTTTTTTAAATCTCACAAATTCTGGTTCTGATATTTGGGACTATATAAAAAAAAAAAAATATTTTTAAAATTTAAAATAAAAAAATTCAGAATTTTTAAATCTAAAAAATCGTAAAAGCAAAAACTTGTTTCAATTTTTAGTTAAGTTTTTTATTTAAAAGATACCTCTAATTTCACGAAAGCAATTTAAGTGAAAAATTATTTTAATTTTTTGAAATTTATATGGAAATTGACAGAAAATAAAAAATTATTTTTCATTCAAATTTCTGATGAAATCGGCTGTTACTGATCTTAAAAAATCCTGAAAATTTTCAAGGTTTTTATTTTTAAAGGTACTAACTTGTGAACTTTGAATTTATTGCAAGCTCTAAATAAAAAATGAATTTAAATAATTTAGCAGAATATTATTTACTTTGCAAAAAAAATTCAAAATTCAAAACTTCATATCTTTAATAAAAGTTTATTGAAAATTTCAGGATCTTTTAACATCAATGGAGAATTGTATAAAAAAATTTGCCAAAAATGTTTATGAAATTTTGCTTTTACGATTTTGTTTAATTTCAAAATTCAATAATTTTTTTTCGAATTCCTTTTTAAATATAATTTTTTTATAACCTTAAATATCACCCTTAAATCGATACCACAACCACTTTTGTAGCTATAATAGTTTTTGAGATATTCAAAAACGTAGCTGGCAAAATCCCGGAAATTTTGAATTTTGCATAACTTTTTAGAACAAAAAAAAAATAATGATAATTTGTTTCCTTCGGCAAAACTTCGTTGCTTGATAAAACAAAATTTCTGACCAGAATTCATACAAATAAAAATTGGTCGATGCCAACCACTGGTCGATTTGCCATGGATTGGCCCATATAAGCTGCCATTTCCGTAAAGAATTTCTGTTAAAATCCTTTATATTTGCTAACTTCCTAACTAATGATAACTGTACGCCCCAAACTCATCCATTTCCGTAAAGGTTGTTGAATAAAATATTCAATTCAATTTAGTGTTTTTCAAAATAATTTAATGTTATTTCAAAAAAATAAAAATTTAAATACAATAGAAGACTTAGAGACGCATCATTTAATGTAATTTTAGTTGCTTTACACAAAAGTATATATTTTTTTAATTTTAATTAAATAAAGTCTAGAAAATAAAAGTAATTTGTCACAAACAAACAAAAAAAAATATATAGAGAGTGAAGAAAGAGTGTTTTGATGGATTGATAAAACGAGAGCGCAGGGCAGATGAAGAGAGAGCGAGAGAGTTAGGCTAAAGAGCAATCGCGAGCTTAAACTGGGTTGAGCTCTGGATGGATAATTGGCATACTGCGTTGCGCAAATATTACGAAATAGCAGATTTTTAGAGCTTGAATGAAAATTTCTCTCGAAATTTTTTAAAGAACTTAAAAGTAATTCTCTCTTTTTTTCGGCCTATTTAGGTTTTTTTTTTGTTGTTTTAAGGCACTTCAAATTTCGTTTGCATTGTATTGTTGTATCTGTTGCAGTATTTTGTGTCGATGTATGCGGTTATTGTTGCTTTAATTGCTGGTTGTTCTTCTCTCTACACTCTCCACCTGCTACCGCATTAGCTGCCACTGCAACTACATACTATTGTTTTGTTGTTATTTTTTTACTTTTGCTTTTGCTTTTGCTTCTTTCTCTCATCATAACATATCCCTGAGCAATTCCTTTTGCGCGGCAGTCAACTTTTCCGGGAATTGTATATCGAATGCCACCAATAGATCGCCTTTTCGCGATGTATCCTTGGGGAAGGGCAAACCATAGCCTTGTATACGCTTCACCGTATTCGGTTTGATAATCTCTTGCATGGTGCTGATACGCAACTTATCGCCGGACATTGTAGGAACTTGGAAGACTACGCCGCAGAGCGCCTGTAAGGAGAGAAGAAAAAAGAGAAAAATTTAAAAATTAGAAAATGAAAATTAAATGTGCGCTAAAATAGACAAACAATTTATGTTAACGTATGAAGTATACAAGTAAAGTAAAGAAAAAAAAGCTAGCAAAAACAAAGGCGAAAAAACTCCAAAAATGTATACTGTCGCCTTTGTTGGGCATTTGAGACCAATATATGCATTCGCCATGGAAGAGATTTTAAATATCGCTCAATCACATCGCCAACTAATCTAGCCACACAAATAAACAATTCAATTTCCTTTCAATTTTTCCGCCCACATCAGTCATTCGAAACACACACTCGCGCCATTAGCCGAACCTTTTCCTTCTTTCTGCGTTCGCTGTCTGGCTTCGTCACAGCGCCAATTCAACAAATTATCAATCTTCTTTGCTTTTCTACTAAATACGCATACAAAACTGTTTATTCTGATGGTTACAATTGGAATCGTCTAAAGGATGACAGACAATATGTTTACAGCTAAGTAAAAGCTCCTTGCATGCATACTTGTGTGGGTGTGTGAGTATACTTTTCATTTATATCATAATGCGACATCTAAATCCTTTTTTTATATGTACTTAATCGTGCTTAAACATGTTGTTGACAACTTGTTTGCCTTACACATACAAAAACCACTACGATTTTTTCTAGCTTACTTAAAGCACTCCATCTCCCAACTACACACTTGGACGGACGGAGTAATTTGAACTCGTCTCACTTTCACTTTTGCTGTTAAAACATTTGTTGATTCTATTTTTATTGATAGTTTTTCGCATGTTTATTTTCCTACATACATACATACAAACATACATACAAACCTAGAAAATAATGCCCAAAACCCCAGCTGGAACTTTGAGCTGAAGGTTTGTGTATTTGGCTAGGCCGAGATCAAGGAAACCCTCTACGGAGGAGGTGTTTCAATTTTACATAATGAAGTGGCAGGAAGATGTATAGAGAACGAAAGTATAGTAAAACTGCTTGGTGGCCTCGGCAACTCTCAGCGCTTAGATTGTCTCAGAAATTAGTGCTCAAGCTCTCCAAAAATGCCAAATGCTCAGAATTCCGTGATGAGCACTCAGCTTGGATAACAAAGTACATTACCTTCTTTGCCCACCTATCCCTACAGCTGAAATGTTTCACCAAACCTTAGCTAAAGGAACTGCAGGACTCAGACAAGCAATTAGGACACCGAAAGGTATCTGCCCGTTAATCGTACAGTTTACGACGAGGAGAGGGCAGTCACCCTGCTATCTGCCCGCTTTCTGGAAAAGTCGACTGAGTTCCGAGAGTACAGAGCTTCTCCATGAGACTAGAAGCTGATAAAAAGTCTATTAACCTGGCGATGAGCCGATTGGGCGTTAGACTCGTTCGATAGCTACAAAAACCCAAGAGTAATTGGCAACAGCCCATTAGTGCGGTTCAACGGGCGGGTGAGGGCTGTTACTACTGAAAACCAATGGAGGGACCAATAAAAAATCTTTAGTATTAATAATTGGTTAACTAAACAATTGGATATAATAATATTGGAAGTCTCCTGAAAAGTAGTATCACAGTTTTCATATTAACTTTCAAGACCATTTCTATGAAAAGTTGTTTTTCCCCATATAAAATACATGGCACACTTTGAGCGCCTTGAGCACTCCCTAAATATTTTTTTTCTTTCAAAAAAAAATATAGGGGATGTTTTTTCGGTATAGAACGATCCTAGGGGATGGCGGCATTAAAATTCCGTCTTTACTGTTTTTGGACCACTCTAATGTACATACTATATCAAGAGGCTAGCACGAATTTTGTCCCTGTTGCTCCTACTGCAGACGAAGGGTTTTTATTGTTTCGAATTCGGTAGGTTTTTTGCAATTTTTTCCTCGAAAACGTAAACGAGCACAAACATGAACACGAAGACGATTTCGAATACTACCACAAATAAGAATACGAATACATAGACGAAGAGGAACACGAAAATGAATGCGAATATGAAGACCGACTAAAGGCGAACACGAATGCGAAGAGCGAAGAGAAGTACGGAGATGAATTCGAAGAAGAAGGCGAATAAGAGATAAACACGGGAACGTGATTACGAAGCGGAATGCGAATGCGAAGAGTTACGCGAATAGTAATGCAGACTAATACGTTTCCGAAAATGAAGACGAAGATTAATACGGATACAAGGTTGAATACGAAAAAGAATATAAAGACTAAGACTAAAGATTCTGTTAATATAAAGCTTAAAACATATTTCTGCAATATGAGGTGAACTGGAATTTAATCGAAGGATGTTTCACTTAAGTAATGTAGCCCAGGCGCACCATTTTTTTTTTTGTTACTGCTTTTGGTTTTTTAGGAAAATTTTTAATATTTTCACATTTTGTTTTGCGTCGTGCTTTTTTTGTTTTTGCACCAGAGCAGGAACTTTCGAAATTCTAATTCAAGAAGTCAGACGGAAATAATTTGTCTATATGATATTTGTATATGTAGCAGTGTGATGCTTGTTACCTAAGACTGGATTTCCACCAGGCATTAAATGATGAAAATTTTAATGACATAGCTGGTCATTGAAAAAAATTAAGCAAAAGCTTAAACTTTTCGGCCTTGGTCATTACGTATAAACAAATAGTCATTCAATTTTCTTTCACGCGGCATTTTCTGAATGGCTACCATTTTTTGTCATTTCAATGACGAGTGGAAATTCGGTAAAAGGATTATTAATCCTAAATGATTTAAATTTTTTGATTTTTTTCAATCAATAGTTATTTTTTTACCGGTAATTTACCAGTGAAAAACAACTATTAAAATTTTACTTTTAATTTTCCGATAAAAAAAAAACCAAAAATCTAAATTTTACTTTTATTTTTTCAATCAAAAATAAAAAACCACAAGTTAAAGTTTGACTTTTATTTTTGTAATCAAGCCCATACCGTTTATTTGAAGAGGCCTAAGTTTACTTGGGTTTGTACGTCTTAATATCAACCCTTCTATATGTATATCCAAAACGAAGAGATCTCCCAGATATGGGGAACATAACTATGAATGAGGTCGTAGTAAACTTTTCAACCTACGTAAAGTGTATTAGTCTAATCCGGGACATTAAACTTCTGGGAAAGTCTCACATAAATATAAAACCCAGCAACTAAATATTTATCCAAGAAATCAACATTTAGCATACAAGCAGCCGCATGTGAATTTTCTGCTGGGTGCATATATTTATGCTAGTTGTATGCAAGTAAATATATGTATGTTTATTCATTACTCTATGTTTTGTTAGCAAAAATGTCACAAATCCTTTCAACAAATCCTTTTCTCTCTATATCCCCTTATTTAGTATTGACGACTATTTATACACTGTTCACACGCACAAAATCACAAATCAACACAAAACACACACAGACACACTTGCCTCCGCTCAAAGTCTTCCATATGTAAGTTTGTATGTATATTAACAGGCCTTAAATTTGGTACATTTCAACAGCTCTATTGCGTTTGTTTTATTTCAGTTTCGTTTCCCTCTTTTGTTTAATGTGTACGAGTATTTACAGTTAAGTTTTCGGTGAGTAGATCTCATCCATCATAGATTATTTTCACTCAGCATTGGTAAATATTGTCTCCGCTTAAATTAGGGAAAGTGGTTGGCGAAAGTGAGGCCAACAATTTGACAAACAAAGGACCTCCTAGGACTAGGCATTTATGGTTAGCTGGGTTTCGAATCCTATAAAAATTTGTCTGTCAGGAAAGTAATTCAGTGATAGAGAAGAGCGGAATTTGTGGTCGTAATGTTAATGGTGGTGTACATGCATACAAACATGGATATTTCTCAAATGCCTACCGAATTCAGAGTAGCACCTTCTGAGCTAAAGAAAAAATGGCTTATAAGCAAGCTGATGGATCCATCTTTAGCAAAAGCAAACCCAAACAAACGGCGGAGAGGAGACACACCCCAGCGGTCGGCAGCCAGCGGTGCGATTGCCTAACAGGCTGTGGTTAAGCGGAAAAAGTCGCAGTACCAGGGGCCCCATAATCTTTCAGCGAACTCGGAGGACGGGCGTCATTTCCAGGCAGAAATGGAAGCGGTTGGCCCTAACCATCGCTGGTGTTGTTCTTGAAGGTGGTTAGGGGAAATTCTGTGCCAAAGTTCCTCGAATTCGTACAAATCTTCTAGAAAGTTTGAAATTTTGACTTACATGGTTTTGCTTAGATAGTGAGCTATACTTTTATAAAAAAATAATAACAAACAGAAGGAAAATACCAAAACTGGTTAAAATATTGCGTACCTAGTTTGCCCGCCACCGTATCTCAGCATTGACGCGCTGCAGTATTATGGGAATCTATAGGTCACTCTCAAAGAAAATTCCTAAGAGTTGACGCCCATACGATCGATGAATCTTATTAATTAAGCGCAGTCATAGCAACATCAGGGCTTACTTACTTATTTTATACATACACACATAAATATATATATGTAAATATATTTACACATTTTGCAATGGTAAGTACAGCAAGCTCCAACAAAAAACGCATAAAAAGCGAGTGTATGCTACAATTTCGAAGAAATAATAATAATGAGGAGATACTTATAAGGCAGGCGAAAATGCGAAAACAAGAGCATAAAAATGCCGCAAGTGCCATTAAGAATGCTGTGAAATTTTAGTCTCTGCGCCATTGACTGACGAGCGATGAACAAGGAAAATTATGTTGCCTGCTGCTGATGTTACGATTGCCAATAATGGCATCATCATCAACTGCAAGCCAGTGCGTCATTAACTTGCAAATATCACCATTTCACTATGTATTGAGTGCGTACTTAGTACGTGCCTATTTGAGTAGTACTTGACATTTGCTGACTTATGTATTTCGACGCATTCAAACCAGCAGCAGCATCACAGCAATTTGTTGGTCAATTTTTTTTTTATTTTTGCTGAATGTGCTTGCTTACTAACTATAAACTAAAAGACAAAAATTTACTATTTCCATAGAATTAGGAATCGT